TTTCTTAATATAACACTATTTTAAAGTAAATGTAGATAATAGAAATGAATTTTTAAAGTAAAACAAAGCTAAATTTATAAGGGAAATGAAGTTTTAAGAAAAAAAGGATAATTTTATTCAAAAAATTTATTCACACTGAAAAAAGGTTAGAATTTGATAATTCCTTGTTATACTCTAACTTACCGACATTAGATATTTCTCGTATACGGTAAGCAGATTTTGTATTAAATTTAATTATTTTATATAAGAACATATATATAATAAATGAATAATAATATATTATTAATTAGTAATGAAAAAAACTTATTTATTCTGCCGCCAATACAAAATCGTGCTTACCGCATCTGAGAAATATCTAATGTCGGTAAGTTAGAGTAACAAGGAATTATCAAATTCTAACCTTTTTTCAGTGTGAATAAATTTTTTGAACAAAATTGAAGGGCTACATAAAATAAGGGGACGAACGCGTGGTTGAAAGGAATAATATCAGTCAGGTAGCAGTGAGCGGCTCAAGGCTTGTCACTGCTACCCGACTGGTAATATCCCTTCCAAGCCTCGCGTTCGTCCCCTTATTTTATGTAGCCCTTCAATTATTCTTTTTTTCTTAAAACTTCATTTCCCTTATAAATTTAGCTTTGTTTTAGATGAGAAAATTCATTTCTATTATCTACATTTACTTTAAAATAGTGTTACATTAATAAAAATGCTTTAAAAGTCACCTCGTATATAAGCTTCTCATTACGGAAAAGGCTCGTATGAGAGTTTTCTCATATTTCTCATACGAGCTACCGAGCTCGTATACGAACTCCGCGGTCCGTGTATCGAATTTTTTTTACTGGGTTGCACGAAATTAATTTTTTCTAGCATAATTTATTTATTTGAACAACGGAGAATCCAAAAATGGTAATAGAAAATTTCCTCTCTGTATGTATGTATGTATGTATGTATGTATGTATGTATGTATATATGTACGTATGTATGTCCGCAAAATTTTGTTCGCGTATAACTTGAAAACGTTTTGACCGATTGAAGTAAAATTTGGCAATCTTTTAGGTATTGGTCTGACTTAAAATATTAGCTATATTTGATGAAAAAATATTAAGATGAACAAAAGTTATAAATTTTTCAAAAAATTAAAAAAAAATTTTTTTTTATTTTTGCAGATTGGCATAAATTTTTTAATTTATTAATAATATAAATGATTTTAAGGATATATAACAATAAATTGAATTAAAAAAAATATTAATTTATGAAAAAAAAATTATGAATTTTCCAAAAAATTCGAATTTTTTTTTTTAATTTTGCCAGATTGCTGTAAATTAATCAGTTATGACTTTTGTAAAATATATATAAACAATTAATTTACAGATTTTAAACTTATTTGTTAGAATGGGAGGTATTCAATTTTTTCAAAAAATTAAAAAAATGGAAAATTTCCAAATTTTATATTTTTTAATGTATATCTTTTAAACTTTTTGTAATTAAATATTGCATGTTATTTAGTCACATTTTAGCATAACTTTGAAAAAAAACTGTCCTATAACTATAAGATGGAAGTATGTATAAAAATGTTTTTAATATCAAAAAATTGAAAAATTATAATTGAGAGACCAATTACTATCAAGATTAATTCAGTAGTATTTTTGGGGTCTCTGATAAACTTTTGACGTCAAAATAATGGAATTTAGAATTATTTGTTTATTTAATTAATAAAAAAATTTTCAATTGCAAAAACTTCGAAAATATTAAAAATGGAGATTTTTTATGATAAAATTGATACTGCAGGAATTCAAGAATACCTGTGATACGATACACTGAAAAAAAAGTTCATTGAATCAAGTAAATGCATTTTCTTGACCTGATTTATTTGAAACAAACCCATATTTTCTTATTGGAAGAAATTTATTTTCTTGTGTCAAGTAATTTTGAGCATTGATCAAAGTTATTGAAATAAGAAAATATGGGTTTGACATAAGTAAATATCTTACTGTTTCAAACGAACTGTTTTACATGCGCCAAGTCTCGAAAAAGTATTAAATCAAGAATATCATGTTCTCACGTCAAGTAATTTACCTTGAGTCATTTGGTATCTTGAGTCAAATAATTTTTTTATTTCCTTTAAAGCAACTATTTATTTCATCCAACACCCATAGTCTTGAGCCAAGAAAATGGGAAGATTAATACAAGTTAATAATTGTTTCAACTCAATTAAAAATTATTTTGTTTCAAAGAAATATTAATTAATCTAAGAATTTCTTTTACTTGAAGCATTTCTATATTCTCATGTTTCAAAATCATTAATTTCTTGCGAGAATGTTATATTTTCTGGAATGAAATATTTTATTTATTCAATTCAATTAAGTGTAAGATCTTGAATTAAATCATTCTTTTGTTTCCTTTAAAAAAGTTTTTACTTAATTCAACGCTCATATAATCCTGATTCAAGAAAATACGAAGGTTAATATAAGTAAATATTTGTTTCAAGTTGATTAAAAATTATATTCAATTAATCCCATATTTATTTGAAGAAAGAAATTCATTTTCTTGTGTCAAGTAAATATTAGCATTGAACAGAATTCTTGAATTAACAATTTAGTATTTGGCAGAACTCAATATGTAATTATTTCAACCAAATATTTTACTTTTCCGAAGTACCAAAAAGTATTGAATCTAGAATATCATGTTCTTAAGCGAAATAATAAAGTATTGTGTGGAGAATTCATGTTTCTTGAATCGAATCATTTTATTTATTTGCTTTGAAACTTTTTTTTATTTAACACAATGCCGGTGTTATTGATCCAAGAAAATATTTTTCTTCAAATGTATATGCAACTTAAATATCAGTTTTTGAAAACTGTCCATTGAGGCTAGGATGGCATAGTGGTAGCGTGACGGCTTCTGGTGCGTGCAACCCGAGTTCAATTCCTCCAACCGTGGAAAATTTTCTTTCAAGGTATATATTTGTTGTATTTGTGTTAAGTAATAATTAAATGTAAATATATATGTAAAATAACAATTATTTAAATAAAAAATATAAATGTTAATTAATTAAATAATAAAAATGTTTGACCTAAGTATTAGAAAAGATGGGATGGGGGTAAGGGGGGGGGGTAATTTAAGTAAATAATTTACTTGTATTGAGAAAGTATTTTTTTGATTGAAATCTATAAATTTTCTCAAATCAAGAAAATATTTTCTTGGACAGAGAACATTATACTTTCTTGATTTGATACATAAATGATTTCGAATTAATATATTCTGCATTTCTTACATGCTACTTAATTTCTTGATCGAATTCCATATTTTCTTGGATCAAGAATATCTGCGTTCTCTCACAAAATAAATGTTTTCTTCATTTAAATCTTGAATTACTTGAACGAATGTTACAAAAAATTGAATGAATCAAATAAAATAATTCAATTATCTATATATATTCTTAGAACAAGAAAATATTTTATTCATTTAATACATTTTATATTTCGTACAAGTCGATTAACTTCTTGGTCGAATTCCATATTTTCTTGGATCAAGAATATCTGTTCTTCTCCCAAATATCCTATGTCAAGAAAATCGTTTTCTTGAATCAATACTTTAATAGTCTTGGCCGTATTCAATCCCACGATTTGCTTCAACCAAGAAAAATTTTCTTGGTTCAATACTTTTTTTTTCAGTGTACTTGCATTATGATACTGGGAAAAAACTTAGATAGTAAAAAGTTATGTTATTTTAATTCTAGATTTACACTGAAAAACTGTTGGTAGAGCTGTTCGCCCAATGCGGTGAACTGCTGCGTTAAAAAGAAACGCACAGCTCACTTTATTTTTGGGCGAGTTAATCTCCTTTTTGGACGAGCAACTCTCCTTTTTGATAGAGCTGCTGCCCTTTTTGTCAAGCAGCCGCTCGCCAACGCCATTAGTAGTCAAGTTTAGGAGAGCAACTAGCCTAATTTTGATAGAGCTGTGAGTTTAAAGTTAAGTAGCGCTGCACAACAGTCAATAGCGGAACTGCTGTACCAACAGTTTTTCAGTGCATGCGTCTCAGTTTTTTTCATGACGTGTATACACGTCATCCACAGTCAAGGAGTTAAGAGGTTAAAATTATATATTTTTTCATCTTCATATTTTAGAATTTATTTTCATAATATTTATAAATTATGTAGTCCATCCTTTGTTTTCATAAAAATAATTTTAAAAATCGTCAAAAATATATAGGTTATATGAAATCATTAATCGCCTTAATCTAATTAGTTGTCAACAATACTGTTACTGAAATAAGTAAAAAGATTTGTATCAACAACATATATGTACGCTTTTACTTTACACAGTTTTGTTAATAAGAAGAAAGATGAAAAAACATAAAATACTTTAAAATAAAAACTTGACGAGTGCATTCTACGTTGTATTAAAAGTCAAACTATAGCAGAAAGTATAAAGACGTACTGCGCATGCTCCCGACGACTACTGGAATCTAACAAACTGCCTGGTTACTACAACCAGGCTTCATTTTCCTACAACTTTTCACTAATGTTGTGCTAACAGGTGTTCGTACCGTTGAAGACAAATTTCACCACGGATCATGGTTGTCATAACTAGGATTGTTTTATTTGGAAATTTTAGTTAATATAACTAAATTCCTGGTTACTGTAACCAGAAAACATGTTACAGAGACAATTTTAAGTTGGTCCAGTAACTCCATTTCATTAACCACTTTTTTAGGGTTATATTAATAACCTGGGTCCATTTCTCTCAGTGTAGTAGCATGAGCACCAATCGTAAATTACATTTTTTATTCTCCTAACTATTTACTACTTTAAAACAAGAAACAATTGTAAATTCTTTTATTACATAAACACTACTGGATGTAAGCCCTTCGCTGCCTCTCATACATGTACAATATTCCTCTTTGACTACACTCCACATCGACATTGCCTCTTTGGTGTAAAATGTAATTTACACTTACCAATCAAAACATAATATATTCGTACGAAACGTTATACATACCTCGTAAGGCTCAGAAGCTTTTCTCCAAAACGAGTAATTAGTAGCAGCATGTCCTTGTGACCAAACATGGTAACGAAATGTGTATAATAATCCTTTATTAAAGTCTGATATTAACTTTTCCTTATTTTCAGGAAATGTGAACCTGTTAAAAGGTATGTAATTATATACATATTGATAAATATTTTAATATAGAAATAAATATTAACTTAAAATATTGGAATTTTTTATGCTAGGACATCTTTTGAAACGTTTAAAGTAAACTGAAAATTTGAAGCACACGATACGAACATATTCTAAGAAACTTTGAAACAGGCTGAAGAAGATATCAACGAAAGACGTAGTATAAAAAAATAGCAGTCAATGAAATTAAAAAGTAAACAGAAACAAGGAAGAGAGATAAAAGTGAATGACAGAGAAGAAACACCGTAAAACTAATCAAAACAAATTCGAAGCACGTATGAGATCATCTATTTAATTAAAAACTGTTTGTACCTGGAATTTTTGCAAAATTAATTTATTTGATTTTATTAATTTTCAGTAAAATTTTTAATCTCAATGCTTAGACGAATAGAAATATCAGCATATTCCATACTAGAAACAAGATTGTACAACTAATAATTGTTTTCACATAGAAAATTATTTAAAACATAATTGATTTGAACAAATTCTATTATTATCAAATGAAAAAAATGTTTAAACTAACATGTCCATTTCATACTAGGTAAAAAATTAACTAAAGGAGTATCTATAACTTTTTAAAAATTTTCACTTCTTTCTTCGTAAATAATTTATAAAAAAATGCATTCTGAATCACCTATATGGAGCGTTATTTCTGAACTGTCACAAGTGCACGATTACTGTTTCTGTGCACGTGTACGTTCAAATAAGAATAACTCTTATAAAAATAGAGTAATTTAAAAAACAAATAGGGTTTTGGAAAGCTCTTTTTACGTACTTAACAATGGTTTTTTTTAAATTTATAAAAAATAAAATTTCCATTCAAAAATTAATAATATCTAATAAATATTTTTCTATTTTTGATCAATTTGGACATCTTCGATTTTTTTAGGAATACTTTTAAAAGAAAGTAATGGGCCTAGCGGAGTAAGCATGTAAAATCTGCCACCGCTCAAAAAAATTTGAAATTCTTGTTGCATGTTGGCAGCAATAAGACAAAATTTTCCACTAAATATTTTTTCAAAAAATGCATTTTTGTAAGAGTTAGGGGCCGTTCATAAACTACGTCACGCCTTAGAGGGGGGGGGTGGAATTAATTTTTTGTGCTTATGACAGTTCAGGAATAAGGCCCCATATGAACCAGTGCTAAAATATATATTATATACATACATATATATATATATATATGGGACTTTCCACGCCAAGTCGGAAGTAATTTTGCTTTTGCATCTCAAATTTTTTTTAAATATTTTTTTTTCTTTTAGTACTTCTTGAAATGAGCTACCTTGATTTTTTTCAAATTTTTTCATAAAGCGGTTCAGGAGATACAGATTTTAGAAAAATGACGTTTTTTACGTAATTTTTTTTGAATGCTTATAACTTAGTTAAAAATAAAAATTGATCAAATTGAACGTTCTTATAATGAAAATTTTTGTTTCCACATGTAGTTTTTATTAAAAATATTTTTAAAAAATGTTTAAATAATTTACGATAAGATTTAAAAAATTTTTAAATAAAATTATAAAACGATGGGATCTATTTATTTTGAAATTTTTATTTTTTATATACGCAGCGGTGGCCAAATGCCTATCCTGCCATTTGACAAAATCACACAAATTATTCACAGCAAATAATGTGTTTTTAGACTGAGTTTCTCCAAACTAAATCTTCTTTCTGTGTAAAATTGTGATTAGGTCAAATGGCAAGTTAGGCCTACCGTTTTCACTGTGTATATAAAAATTAAAAATTTCAAAATAAATATATCCCATCGTTTGCCCACAATCGGACAAAGCTTAAAAATTGTTAATTTAGTGCTAGTTTCTTATAAAAAATTTTTTAAAAAATTGATCGATACATACATTGTTAAAAATAAAATTTTATTTAAAAATTTTTAAATCTTATCGTAAATTATTTAAAAATTATTAAAAAATATATTTTTTAAAAACTACGTGGGAAAACAAAAATTTTTATTACAATAGCGTTCAATTTGATCAATTTTTGACCGAGTTATAAGAAAAAAAAAATTTACGTAAAAAACGTCATTTTTCAAAAATCTGTATCTCTTTAACCGCTTTATGAAAAAACTTGAAAAAAATCAAGGTAGCTCATTTCAAAGAGTACTAAGAGAAAAAAAATGTTTAAAAAAATTTTAGATGCAAAAGCAAAATGATTTCCGACTGGGCGTGGAATGCCCCATATATAACCTGGAAAATCAATATCAGAAACAGGGCTCTACATAAAAATCAGAGAGTACGACTTAAAAATTTATTAGATATTAGTAATGTGCACTGTCGATTATTATTGTCCAGTAAACATAATTAGAATTCGGCTGTCAATAAATCGGTTGTACACCCTGATGCTTTAATGCCTTCCATCCGGCATTAAAGCATCAGGGTGTACTAAGAAGAGGTTTTCTCCATTTTCTCTCTCTTCTTGCGCGGCCTCGTTCTATAGACGCAACATTTACTTTTTACAATTTTTACAAACACAGAAAAAACGTTAATCTAAATTTAAGAATATCTTCTTGGCTCCTATTTAAGTATATTGTATACTTAAATTAAGTATTATACTATTCTTAAAATGAGAATATATTCTTATTTTAAGAAAAATATATACTACCCACATAGCACCATATTTTGCGGGAAACTAACGGGAAACTAACCATGTTACCCAGTAAAAAAGATTCGATACACGGACCGCGGAGTTCGTATACGAGCTCGGTAGCTCGTATGAGAATTTTGAGAAATCTCTCATACGAGCCTTTTCCGTAATGAAAAGTGTATAGATGCTTGTAAACGAGGTGACTTTTAAAGCATTTTTATTAATGTAACACTATTTTAAAGTAAATGTAGATAATAGAAATGAATTTTCTCATCTAAAACAAACATAAATTCCTAAGAGAAATGAAATTTAAGAAAAAAAGGATAATTTTGTTCAAAAAATTTATTCACACTGAAAAAAGGTTAGAATTTGATAATTCCTTGTTTCTCTTACTTACCGACATTAGATATTTCTCGGATGCAGTAAGCATGATTTTGTATATTAAATTTAATTATTTTATATAAGAACATTTATATAATAAATAAATAATAATATATTATTAATTAGTAATGAAGAAAAACTTATTTATTCTACCGCTAATACAAAATCGTGCTTACTGCATCTGAGAAATATCTAATGTCGGTAAGTTAGAGTAACAAGGAATTATCAAATTCTAACCTTTTTCAGTGTGAATAAATTTTTTGAACAAAATTATCCTTTTTTTCTTAAAACTTCATTTCCCTTATGAATTTAGCTTTGTTTTAAAAGAGAAAATTCATTTCTATTATCTATATTTACTTTAAAATAGTGTTACATTAATAGAAATGCTTTAAAAGTCACCTCGTATACAAGCATCTATACACTTCTCATTACGGAAAAGGCTCGTATGAGAGATTTCTCGTACGAGCTACCGAGCTCGTATACGAACTCCGCGGTCCGTGTATCGAATTTTTTTTACTGGGTAGCTTCTATAGTTAACATGGTTAGCTTCCCGTTAGCTTCCCTGGGCCTATAAATGTCCTACGCTTTTTAGTTTTCCGTGTTAGCTTGCAGAAAGTTATCTAAGAAACTTTTCTGAAAACAAGTAGAAAAAATTTGTGAAATATTAAATTGTTAGTTTTAGATAATTTTGCTTGGTTATCTTCTTTAAAACTATCTCTGGTAAGTATCTGTAAACATTAGAAGGTAGTTTCTAGTAAGCGTCATTAGGTAAGTAATATAATATAAATTGATATTATACAAATAATCATTTACGGAATTTCCGTAATTATCTATTTAATATGCACTTAAACTTATTTAATATTTCAGTTTATTTATAACTAGAAAAAAAGTATTTATAAATTTAATAAAAATAAAATAAAAAATATTTCTCTCTATAATTTATTTATTGCCGCGAACTGATACTTATTTATTCCTCAATATCAATATTATTGCAGAATAATTTTGAAAATAAATTTAGAGGGACTGGGGATAGAACCCGGGTTCGCAACGCAGAAAGAAACAACCTAACCAACTAACCTAATCAACCATGTTCCTTACTTAATTTGACTTCACATCTATTCGCAATTTGAAGTTAGTTGTTTCTGTTTGCATTTTGTTTTCTAGTTTTTTTTTATAATTAATTTCTTACTTAATTTTATAATTTTTAACCTGAAATAATTTAATTTTTACAAAAAAATGAATCCAAAATTTTCAAAATAATTAAATTTTTTGCGAAAAATTAAAATAAAATCTTTTAAAAAAGTTTATTCTTACGCAAAATTTTATTAGAATAATATTTAAAATATTTAAATTCTTATAAAGAGTTTTATCAAAATTTCTAATAATAATTTAATTCTTTTGTGAAATGTTATTAATTTATTATGAAACTAATTGAATTTCTGAGAAGAATTTTATTAAAATCTTTGAAAATCCTAATTAAATTCATTTGAATTTTTTTTTCAAATAATGGAGTTTCTTTAATAATTTTAATCGAAGATTTTGAAAGTAATTGAAATTAATGAACATTTTTATTTTGTTATTTGCATAATAATAGTAAATCGTTCCGTGCATAACATTTGCTGGTTTATTGATAAATTTTGCACAATAAAATTTGTAAATACGTGAAGAATATTAAAATTTGAAAAAAGAATAGCAATTTTTATTAATGAATTATTTAATATTACAGGGATGCAACAAAAAATTAATTTTGTTTATCCCTGACTCTAAAGAATATTCTGATTCATGCTTAAAAAATTATTAGATAAAAAAAAAATTCTATTACATTTACTTACGAATTTCTTAAATTGTAAAATTATTCGCAAACATCAATAACTAAATTTTTAAAGAAACATTCAATTATTATTTTCCCATAGAAATTAATATTCTTCAAAACATTCAAATTCAAACATTTTTAAAATTCAACAACTTATAAGAATATTATTA